TTTCCCTAACAACTGACTCTTCAAGCTTCACCAAAACTCAGAAACTTGAATTGTTTACTTTCTGGCTTTTGCATCATTACCAGCACTACCAGCAATAAAATGCTGGCAACTGGAATCTACCTAACAATTCAGTTTTACTGCTTGAGTCAGAAAACAGCTAAGTTTTACTGCTTAGTCCAACAAAGTTATATTGGTTCAGAGTTGTTAACATGAGTAAAAACTAATAAAAATGCATTTTGTTCAGTAAAATGAGCAGCTTTGGCTTAGGGAGTAAATTTAGTGCATTTTTATTTCAATCCCTGTTTTAATTATAGCATTAAACAATAGCATGGTAGGATAAGAAGAGAGGCTCAAAGTCTCTGTATAACAGTCATATGAGAGGAAACAGAACGGTTAAGCTAGGAAGCCTGTCAGTCCTACACCAGTGCTTCAAATCTGGGATAGGTTAGTAATGACTGCAAATCAATAGATCTTTGGTGGATTGTACAGTGTGAGTTTGCATTGTCATTCAAGTTTCACACCACAATATACTCCAAGAGTTACTGACATCTTTTTTGTTCTCTCAAAGCAGTAAATGGTTCTGGGAAATACTGGGTGCAGACAGAAGTTACGTTTTTCACATGATCAACCGCCTGAGAGAGCTCTACAGCTATGCCATGACATACTTGCACAGCTGCAGAGCACTTTTAAAGTGGCCAATTGTGCAAAAAATTAACCCTCATCAAATGAGGTATCAGATGAAAGTGCTTTACTTTAGAGTGCTTTAGGGAACTTGTGTTTCCTAGGGTTAATTTTTCATGGGATCAGTCCAGCCCCGGGCTGTTAGCAGGAAGAGAGAGGGGAGTGGGAAGCCAGCAACAGCGAGCTGCTGGCTGGGGTTTTCCCAGCCTGAGCTAGGGAAGGAGGTGGATAAGAACCACCTCCACCTTGTGCCCCCCCCTTCAACAACCCTGCCAGCTCAGGCTGAGAAACCCCTAGCCAGCAGAACAACTGTCAGGTCAGGGGGGCACTCTAACTCATGGCACTTTAGGTAAAGTGCCATGAGTTAGAGTGGAGGCCCGCACATCTGTCAGCACCCACTGCAATCCCTTCACCTTTCCTAAACTCTACAATTGAGGATGGCAGGACACGTGGCAGAATGATGAAGTAAGTCATCATGGGTGACTGGTGCCTCCTGAGTCTCGGGGGAGGTATCTGCAGAAGCCAGCAGTGGTGGGGACGGAGCTGGTGACCACCCGCAGATGCCACCGGTGGCGGTGGGGATGGCTCTGTTGAGGGGGCATGTGCCCCTCCATGCCCCACTGTATCCCCCCTACCAGTCACCTATGGAAGTCATGTATTATTCCTATTACTTTCCTGGTCTGTCAAGTACTGATTTCAGTGCCAAGGGATAAATGAAAGTAGAGAATAGTTTCATATTTTTTAAGATATGAGGAAGCTGAATTTAATCATAAAAATAAGGAAAAACCTCGACCCCTTCATTTAAAAAAAAAAAAAATCCATACAGTGTTTTTCTAAGGAAGTTGTTGAAATCTGTTGGGTTACCCTTTGGTCACCTTTAAATCTAGCTTCTAGTTCTATGTAATATCTTAAATGTATTCTTCAGTAGTTACATGATTAACTGTCTTTTGTGGGTGGTTATAGATTCTTATTTAAGATTATAGGACAAATATATATTATCTGAAATTCATGATTAAAATTTATAATCCAGATGAAGATATTTAGAAGATTTTAAGCTGGGGGATTAAAAGGGGATTAGTGGGCAAATGCAGGAGGAAATATATAAATCATATTTAAATGAAATCTGTTATGATTTTAAGAACAGCTAGAGGAAGAACTTGGCAGAAACAGAGAAGGAAAGTTAAGATAAAAGGCTAAGATCAGGATCGAAGTAGGAATTATGCCTGCAGATTTAATTTACAATGTCACTTCATGAATTTTTAAATTGCATGTTTAGAATTATGCCTTCCAAATTCCTATAAACGTTTTTTCTTCTCATCACTTCCATTGTGCTGACACCAAAGAAATCCCTCTGCACATCATTAGAACAGACAATAGATTAGATTTTAATTGGCAGAGGATTCAAATGAACCTCACACCTATATTTCTGGGAACTTGCACAGACACATGACCTGGCCATACCACTATAGGTCATGAAATACTTTTGTCTCTAGCAGAGTTAAGTGCCAGTACTGAACAGAGATCAAGGACAGTACATATCTGTGGGTAACAACAGAGCCCCAACAATTATCATTCAGTATGGAACAGATACTTATGAGAGGATTGGGTATGGCGGCAAATAACCCTTGTTACCCTGTTCCCCAAAATTTCAACACAGGCAAAGATCTAGGCACTGAAGAAAAACCTGAGAGAAGGGAAATTTGCTTTATATGAAAATGGTACTGACCCAACCGGTAATTCTTAAACCAGCCTGATTTCTTAGTTTACCCAAAACTCACATCCAAACAACCCAGACCTTGAGATGTAGGGGAATTCTAGGTAGATTTTTTGGTTAGTAGCCCAATAAATGGTTCAGACTATTTTTATCATGGTGCCTAAAAATTACTACTATCTGGCATTGGGCAAGGAGTGGGCAAGTTGAGACATCTTTCATGCTAAAGTCTTAGTTTCAGTGTTCCGTTATAAATAAAAGGAAGGTGTCAGGTTGTTCATATTATTTTTAATGCAGAAGTGCCTGTTCCTGTTCCTGATATAGCTGGTTTGATCCAGCTCCAATTAAACCATCTGGAAAAATTCAGTTGACATCAGTGGGAGCAGAAAAAAGCCAACCCAGATGCAAGTGTGCCTACAAACTTCTCTCCGTGAATTGAGTGGAAATGCACAATCAGAGCATCATGGAGCAAATATTTAATATGTCTGCATCATTTAGAAGATGTTTTCCAGAATGTCAAGATTTTGCCTTGTTCTCCAGCAAAATTAAGGCTACCTTAAGCTAATGAAACTCTGAAGGTACATATAAACAGTCTCATTATTTTTTCTGCTCTCATTTAATATGAAGTGTCACCTCAGATACCTACTGCAGCCTATGATTTAAAATGTAATACAAAATTAAGATTGGTCTTCTATGCAGACACCTTGGAAAAATTACATACATTAAATATCATACGTATTCTTACACAAGTTGAATGGTGAAAATATTGTAGAACATACAAACACTTAAAGAAATTACAGTTTACTTCAAACAAACACTAAAATATCACACTGTATGAGTATAGCAAGGAATCAACCTCAGCAGTTTTGAATTGCATATTGTTGCTTCATAGTTTTTCCTGACTCTCATAAGCTCCTAAGAAAATGATTGAATTATTACAATGATGAGTATGAATTATGATAAATGACAGTAGGAGAAGATGCTTAATGCTATTGTATTTTATTGGGTGATCTAATTACTAAATCTGACAAAACCTACTTTCCAAATTCTGGCAGAAAGATATTAATTTAAAAAAAATAGCTAGCTGCTATGTTGAAGATGTTGTATAGGATTCTGAGAAAGTATTTTAAATTGACAATTCCAGACAACAGAATTCTCCAGATCCTTGTCGGGATGCTCAGTGCCAGCATCCCAACTTCCAGAACTTCACTGAAATGACAGGAAAATGTATGCATGTCTCTGTTTCAATGATTTTCAACCATGGTTCTATGAGATCCTTTCAAGGATGCTACACAATATTAGGTGTGCAAATACCTACACCCACAAGATAAACCCAGAGATTTCCAATAGGAATCTGTAGTGTCAGACACATCCTGACCTATTGTGGTCTTTCTCAGTTCTTTGCAATAGAAGAATTGTTATATGATTTTTCCATAGTCTAGAAATGAATGAAAGCTAAAACCTGGCATTTTCTGAGGGGTGCCTTGAGTCTAACAAGAGATGCCTTGAGTTTAACAAGATTGCAAACCACTGCTCTATATGCATAGTCTTAATCTCATCACCTCTTCCCCTATTTATGCATATCTTTTCCAAATCCCCTTGGGAGATCACTGCATTGTGAAAATGAACCTTCCCTTCTACCCGGCTGCCCCCGCCCTCTCCTCCAAACAGGAACCTTAAGTGAAAATGAGTGCAATAATTACATTTCCAGGGCTTGTTCATCTTTGAGGGTTTTTTTACTTTTTATTTTATGAGAATTTTAAGCATATTCTAAAGTAATCATGACAAGATAATGATTTGTATGATGGTTTGAAGAGGGAATTAATCATTTGAAGCATATTTTATTTCATTTTTAGGTCTCTCATTTTATAAACATCACCTTTATTTTAAAATTATAACCATATTAACAGACATTAACCTCTGTTACAGTACAAAGTTTGCCTTAAATTACTAAAAATCTGAACATGAATTCAGATTAATAAAAAATCTGAATATTGATGAGGAAATTATTTTACATAAACAGAAATAGAAAAACAAGTGTAAAATGGATTAAGTTATTTATCTACATAGTCCAGGCAATATACTGACTTATGACATACCCATTCCCGAGATATTATAGTCAATCAGTCTTGGCACTGACTTCAAAGGGATAAGGATTTACTGGCCATTGGGACTGAAGATTTGGTTTTCAGAAGAGCTGAGCACCCACATTTCTAAGTCTAGTCTTTAAAAGCAATGAACTTTGAAAACTGGACCCTGAATAATTTAGGAGCTAGTTCCCACATACAGAACACTGCATAACTCTTTGGAAAAATAACTAAACAACTGATTTCACTAACACAGAAAGAAACATATGATATGATATTATATACGTGCAAAAATGATGTGTATTTCTTGTTAGACTTATACATGGTAAGAAAGAAAATGCAATAATAAGCATTTGAGGAAAGTAAAGAAAAGTATACTATGAGAGATGTGTTTGTCTGCTGTGTTTCAGAATCACTGAGCCTAGATCTTGGAAAGAAAGTCAGCATCCCCCAAGATATCATGGTAGAGGAATTATCAACACTCAGCAACAGAGGTGCAAGGCTATTTAAGAAGCGTCAAAGGAGATCTGACAAGTACACCTATGAAAACTATCATTATGTAACAAACAAGCCAAGGAACGTGAGTATTTTGTATTCATGTTTCTGAACAGTGAGTGTAGCCTGAGGTTATCATTTGCATGATACTGACTTCAAGATTTATCCACAGCTACAGGTCCAGTATGAAGCACAAAGTGGGCCATTTCTGTTTGGACTATTCTACAAAAGTAGAAGGTCCAGCTCTGGGCCTTGCCTTAAAGTCCCCGCAAATGGGACTACAAGATTTAAGGGCCTTGTATACAAAAGATTCACGTTCAAATCAGGCTCGGGTCAGGCGTGACAAAAAGTCATTACCATGTGGCAGTTGATTGGTGACTACTGGATGTTGCAAAAATAAACTTCTTTCATTAATTTAATGATATCTGAGAGCTCTGAAGATGCAAAGTTCTGTGTTCCATGTACATTGGAAAGTGTTTTTACTGTATTTACTCCAATATACTCCTCGGACCCCGAGGGTGGTGGTTGACGGAAGTCAATCATCATGGTGCCCTGTGACCAGTGGGGTCCCCCAAGGCTCTGTCCTTGGACCCACATTGTTCAACATCTTCATTGATGATGTGGGCATTGGAGTCAGAAGCGGACTGGCCAAGTTCGACGATGACACCAAACTTTAGGGCAAAGCATCCACACCTGAAGACAGGAGGGCGATCCAGGCTGACCTGGACAGGCTTAGCAAATGGGCAGATGAGAAATTGATGGTGTTTAACACCGAAAAATGCAAGGTTCTCCACCTTGGGAGGAAAAACCTGCAGCATCCTTATAGGCTCAGCAGTGCTATGCTGGCTAGTACTACAGAAGAAAGAGACTTGGGGGTTATCATTGACCACAAGATGAACATGAGCCTTCAATGCGATGCTGCGGCTAGTAAAGCGACCAAAATGCTGGCTTGCATCCATAGCTGCTTCCCAAGCAGATCCCGGGACATCATTCTCCCATTGTACTCAGCCTTGGTGAGGCTGCAGCTGAAGTACTAGGTCCAGTTTTGGGCCCCACAATTCAAAAAGGATGTGGCGAAGCTTGAGAGAGTCCAGAGAAGAGCCATGCGCATGATCAGAGGTCAGGAAAACAGACCTTACAACGACAGGCTGAGATCTATGAGGCTTTTTAGCCTGGAAAAGCACAGGCTCAGGGGGGATCTGATGGCCACCTATAAGTTTATCAGGGGTGACCATCAGTATCTGGGGGAACGTCTGTTCACCAGAGCGCCCCAAGGAATGATGAGGTCGAATGGTTATAAACTACTACAAGACCGTTTCAGGCTGGACATAAGGAAGGATTTCTTTACTGTCCGAGCCCCAACGGTGTGGAATAGCCTGCCATCAAAGGTGGTTCAAGCACCTACATTGAATACCTTCAAGAGAAAACTGGATGCTTGTCTTGCTGGGATCCTATGACCCCAGCTGACTTCCTGCCCTTCGGGCGGTGGGTTGGACTCAATGATCTTCCAAGGTGTCTTCCACCCCTAATGTCTATGAAATCTATGAAATCTATAAGACAAGGGTTTTTTTCCTCAACCAGAATGGGGAGGAAAAGCCCCATGTCTTATATTAGGGGTAGACAATTATTTTGAGTGGAAGGCCACTTAACAAGGTTTGGTGAAGACATGGGCCCAAGGTTGTTTAAGCCCAGGGGGCCAGATTCAATTCTACACTTGGGTAAGCTGAAATGGTCCAGTACTTTGAAGCAGCCATAAACTATACTTTCAACTAGTTAGCTCCTGAAGGAAATACGCTGCCTACAACTCCTTTCCTTACAGCTGTATGCCAGCCTAGCAGTAAAGGCTATGCAGATATTATTAATTCTGACTGCAGAACTATCAACCCAAACAAGAATTCATGCTGTCAGTTCTGTGGTTTTGCCATTGGAGGATTCAGTGTAGAGCAGTTGTCCCCATTCTGTTGCCCAACAATATGTAGATCCCTGGTTATATACACTATCTGCACAGATCTGGATAAAGGTACAGAATGAAGTCTCAAGGGGCATGTGTGTATGACACTTTAAAGTAGGTTAAATGCTTTTGCACCTCTTTAAATGGTGTATGCATCAGCAGCGTATCGCACATTAATTCCAGCCGCGGTAGCACGTTCGGCAGCATAATGCACCTTAAATGAATTTGGGGCACAGCAAACTAAAACACCTCCGAGGAGTTTTAGTTTGCTGCCCTACAGCTGCAGAGTGAAGCACCGGGCTCTGTGAGGCTCAAGGGTTGTGCAAGCAGCCCATGCAGGCAGCCCAGCAGCAGCCCGGGAAGGCAGGCTCCAGTGAAGAAAAAAAAAGCGGTAAGCCTGATCTTTCTCCCCCCGCCCCCAGAACCTGCCTACCTGCATGAGCTGCGTGGGGACCTGGTCCTTCCCGTCATGGCTGTGGTGCCCTGTCATGGCTACAGTGCCCCCTGGGACCACGTGAGCTGGGTGTCTGTGAGCAGGTGCTGCCTGGGGAGGGGCTGCCGCTGCTTCAGAGGGAAGCACCAGCAATTCCCCCGCCCCACAGCCCAGAGACAGCTTCACCTGCTGGCAGCTTGCCCTCCCCTCCCTGCCACCGGAGAGGCAGGTAAGACATGGGTGTACACAACATGGGGGTTTACTTCATCCTAAATTGAAGCAGTATTTTTAAAAACCCACTGCTTCAATTTAGGGCCCCTGTTGTGTCTATACATGCCCTTTAGTTTTTGTTTTCCTCCCTTAGATTCCTGTTTAGGCAGCCCTTGTTTTGCCTTTATCTCCTTTGTACTTCATACTGGAGGGGGATGATCCTGCCCAGTATTATTATGTAACCCTTCTGCTGGGCACTGGTCAGCAGCAACAAGGGCCAGGCTCAATTTTGGGTTACTAAATATATTTTACTTTGGCTCAAGCCCCGACCCAGACCACCTGGGAAAAACTAAATGAATTTCCAGGGTGTCTCACATGAATAAAAAGTCCCTCCTCACAAGCAGTGTAAACACAAAAGACATTTATTATGGAAAACAAAGGAAAACACCAAGTGCAATTTAAAACACCGCTAACTACAAGACATAGTCTAATAGGTTGCATTGCTAGGGGAAGCTGCTAGAGAGATGGGTCTTTCTGCAGTGCCAGGTGCTCCTTGTTGCTCTTGGAGGAACGGTAGCATGTCAATCTTTGCTCCCATGGAGAGGCTGTATGTGTATGTGGTGAGTGACTGCAGCTCCAGACAGCATGCACATACCCCAAAACTTCTGGGCTGGATTATATGGCCTGCTAAATGAAACTGCAAGAAAAACTCCAAAAGGAGACAAGTTGATTAATGGCTACAGCCAGCCCAACCATACAGCTTGACTAGAGCAAAGGACCATCAAAAGAAACAAGGGGAAAGACCAGGCCTACCCTCTAGACCTGTGCTGCAGGCAGCTTGGGTCATAGCTCCACTGGAAGAAGAAAGCGGCAAACCTCAACCCTTGCCCAAACTGTCAGGATTAGAATCTCCCAGGTTTCAACCCTGATTAAACTGCTAGGCCTAAGTCCTGGCCAGCAAACCCAAACCAATACTATTTCCCCCAGTATTAATCCCTTAAAACCTCTAAAGAACAAAGGGGAAGAAAAGGAGGAGATAGGAGCAGTGGCAATGCGTAGGGGGTGCACAAGGGTGCATGTGCACCCCCCGAGAGCACTAGTGCACCCCCTGACAGGCTGTGCTCCCTGCTTAGGTGACAGACAAGGCAGGACAGGCAGGAGTGCTGGTGCCCCCCTGTGAGCACCAGCTGGGGAGTGGGAGTACCAGATGAAGCACTGTGGCCACTTCTGGGAGTGCTGCAGCCGCTTCCCGATTTGTGAGTCTGGCCATAGGGGGATTCCCCTTCCCCCCACAATCACTGACTGGTTGCTGGGGGGGCACGTGCCCCCCCCCCCAACTAAGGTGGCACCAGTCACCCATGGAGAGGAGTTCCCAGAGACTGGGACAATTCTTCCCCCCTCCAATGTACCTGAGCTTCCCTTTTCGCTATCTGCACATTCCTTCTCCCTTGTGTTACAATTAAAATAATCTTTGTAATATTCCTTAGGACCATCATAAAACATACTGACCCAATCAAAAATCTTTCTTTTGTTTCAAGTATAAAAAGTATGTGTTTATTTTTCCAAGGAAATCCTACTCCAAGAAAACCTATATTTGTTTCTTTTAAAAGATGTGTCATAACTAAAATAAGATACTGACTTTTTATGTGGTTCTGATTCTATATTTAAGCATCAATGATTAAGACTTTGGTTATTTCCTTAGAGATAATGATCTCAAGGGAAGGATGGAAAACTCCAGCCTATCATTAATATCCTAAACTGAAGTTGTTATAACTATTATACTATAAAAAATCTCACAAAAGTGTATAGATTTTTAAAATGGGTAATGAATTTTCAATGGCTCTACAGAGGACATCTATAGAAAATCAATGCCTTACATAGTAGCCCATCAGATTGCTTGAGTCCTAGCTTGTGACCTAGGCTAGGAAGAATGATCAAATGCATTGTTTATCAACCACTGGGTCATGACCCCTGGAGGGGGGCTCACAAAACTAAATTTGGCATCACAAGGTATTGTAAATGTATTTATAATAAAAAACAAAGAAATTCTTGCTCCTCCATATCTTACATACTCTTTCACTTCAAGGGTCACATATTTTCTGTCAGTCTCTCAAAACATTTCCAAAACCGCAATGGGCATAGAGTTATTGTCATTGATACATTTTTCTCTACCTTTTACCATATGTATAAAGGGTCTGCAATTTTTTTTTACTTTAAATAAGGAGTGAATCATCTGAAAATACTTGGAAAAATGACCTAGTGAACCAGATAAAGAAATTGGGATTCAAGTCCCAGCTCAGTCAAAGTCTTCTTGTGTGTCCTTGGAAAAGTGATTTAGTATATCCTGTGCCTCAGTTCCCATCTGTAAAATGGGAACAACTGTTCATTCCCTCAACAGACAATCACTAAGGATATTTTTCTGAGCAGATACTGTTAGTGATATTTGTTTCTATTCAAATGCAGCGTGGTGAACCCATACAGAATGTTAAACTGGAAACAATGAGTGTGGATAGTGTCCAACAGCATGCACCAATGACACCTCCTAATACACCTGACCCCCGGAGCCCACCAAATCCTGAAAACATTGCCCCAGGTAAAAAACAAACTGAGGAATATGTGAAATGCGCTGAGGACTCAACTGTTTTGTGATGCACAGAAAGTCTTTTCTTACATTATCATTAATGGACTATATACTAGTGATCAGCAAACTGATTCAGACAAGGTCAGACCTAATCTAAACCTTCAACTGGAATGCAAAGCAATGTAGTTTAAACACCTTATCTTGCGTCTTCATGTGCCTCTCCATTGTCTAGTTTCATAATGGAAATACACTGAGAGAGAGTTTTCAGATGTAAGATCTAATTTAGAAACAGCCCAATCTCCTGCCTAAATGTACTAGATAATTTTGGATAAACATCCAGGGTCAGGTCCTCAGATTCTATATCAGCATAACCCTTTGGTTTGGTCTTGCCACACTCAACTGCTTAATCTGCACCAAACTTGTCAATGGTCTTAAGGTCACCCACCATAATTTTATCACAGCCAAAATATAAGTCTTAAGTCATTGCAAATTTTAACTGAACCTTTTATATGGGAGTGGCTGAGAGGGGAATTTGGCTGTGATTGCAGATAATTTTTCTACTTATTTAAAGTCCTTCATTGCAAAAAGGCTATTTTATTTAAAACATTGAGCTAAAGGGAGGCCTTGTTTTGTTTCCTTTGAAGACTAGAGTTGACTGAATAATTTGTGACAAATAATTTATTCAGTGATAGAGTCCTCTTTCCTGTTTGTGAATTATCCATGAGCAGGCTGTGTTTTTTTACAAATTCATTCTTTGTTCAAAATTATTCAAAGTATTTCTTGTGCAGACCTTTTCCAGCCAACATAAACTAGGTCAGTGCTACTCTATTAGCACTTGCTAAAACTCTGCATATCCACAAGCCAAACACAAAGCAAATGGGTGCAATCTGTTTCCATAACTGATACATAAGCTAAGTTCTTAAGCTGGTTGCATGCAGAATATATTCGCCAAAATCCTGACAGAGGCAGTAGATTTTAGATTTGCAAACAAAATTGTTTCTAATTTTGGAAACAAATTGTTTTTGAAGCATAAATAGAGGATCAGAAATCCAGTGGGTTAAAAAGTGAAAAAATACATTTTCTTCTTTTTGAAATTAGTATTTTAGATCATGTGCTAGGATAACTCCTGGTTGGTTTTCATACTATATTATATATTAAGGGCTAGCCTTTGCTCCTTTTACTGGTGCTATGTGGTATGTAGCCAGGAAAGCAGTCCCACTGGTCAAAAGACTAATTTGTGTAATATCTCAATACTGCTCAACTAGAGTAAAAGTGTCAGAATCTGTCCCTCCCAAGTTGGGGAGAGAAGGGGCCTGATTCTTCCCTTCCATGAAAGGTGAAAGGCAGCAGAGAGGGAGGAATTTTTAGAAGCACTAAGGCATGATGAGCAAAAGTCCCATAGTAAAAGTGATAGGGCATGTGTCCCTAATTCCTTTTACTGCTTTGGAAAATCCAACCCAAAGGCCTATCTACAGGTAGAGCTGGAACATTTTAACTGAAGGTGACTTGGAGCCCATTTAATTAATCTGAGACAAAGGTTGGATTTATGTGTTTCCCCCCACTTCTGTAAGTGATATATTCCACTTCGCTGTTCACTTCCTATCCCTCTGTAAGGCGGGGGGAGGGGGGGTCTACCATCATTCTTATATGTAACATTGGATTATGGTATGAATTCATTACTGTCTTTAATTGTACTTGAGATACTTGAGAGAAAGGTATAATGTAATGATTTGTTTCTGTTAAGGATATTCTGGACCACTGAAAGAAATTCCTCCTGAAAAGTTCAACACTACTTCTGTGCCAAAATATTATCAGTCGCCCTGGATAGAAGCTATCAGAAATGACCCAGAGCTGTTGGAGGCTTTATACCCTAAACTGTTTAAGCCTGAAGCAAAGCCAGAGCTGCCTGACTACAGGAGCTTTAACAGGTAATTCAGGGAAGAGATTGAATTATATAGGATGGTAGATATTTATATAAACTGGAATATTTTCACCAAACTATAAGGAAAGAAAGTAATGAACACAGACAAGCAATTGCATACGTTCACACACAGAAACACAAACACATGCACACACAAAGACTAAAAATATCCCAGAAAACTTTAACAGAGAAATAAGTCTTACAGTTACAGTTCCCAAGCTATGTTCTAGAGCAGAGCTTTCTAAACTTTTCATGTTGGTGACACACTTTTTAGACATGCATCATTTCGCGACACAGTAATTCAGTTCCGGGGGAGGGGCCAAGGGAAGCAGACGCGAGTAAGGGAGCTCCAGGGTGCCCTTCCGCAAAATTTTCTGCATTTCGCGCGACACACCTACACACTGCCGCCGACACACTAATGTGTCGCGGCACACAGTTTGGAAAGCTCTGTTCTAGAGGAATGTCATAATAAAGACTAGGAAATAATGAAATAAAGTGGGAAAAGTAAGAGAAGGAAACAGCATCCAATGGGAAACATCCTGATGGAAAGCACAAACTACAGCAAGTGAAGTCTTCCCATTTACTTCTGTAGGTACTGGATCTGGTCTTAAATGAACACTGTGCACAGGGCACTTCCTATTAGAATTAGGTTTACAATAGGAAGCATCACATTTCCTTTTTTCCAAAACATTTGTATTCTAGGGTGTGATCCTGCAAAAAGCTGAGCACCCCTAATTCTTCTCAGAAACCTGGGCTGGCTGAGATATGACACCCTTAGCAAAAAGTGTTTAGCCACTAGCTGGATAAAACATATCATTGTGCTTACCTCACCATCATCTCTGGAAGCATCTTCATGGATAGCAATGTAATGCTGTAAAATAGGGTCATAAAAATAAAATTAGGCCCCAGGGACAAATTAATGTGTGTTCAGTACAATGGGAGCTGAATAAGAAGTTATTTACACAGTAAGTAGTGCTTTGAGGCTTTCAGTGGAAGCTCTTGATATGTTGACACTGATTTGAAATATTTTTGGAAACTTTAAAAACATCCAAACTTTGTCTTTCACTTTCATTCATAATATACACAGTGTCTTCATTATTATTAAACTCACAGATGTCTTTTTCTAAATGATCCCTCTTTGCCTCTGAGTGAGTAAGGCAAGCCAAGCAAAAGTTAAAAAAAAAAAAAGGAAAACCCAGAAAACAAAAATCCTGGACAGGTTGCAATCTGTTGGAAAATGGGAGTTAGTAGAAAAGTAAACCTGTAGGAAAAGGCTAAGACCATTCAGTGGCAATGCGTAGGGGGAGCACGGGGGTGCACGTGCACCCCTTGAGAGTGCCAGTGCACCCCCTGACCAGCTGCACTCCCTGCTTAGGCCTTAGTCACGGGATGCAGGCAGGAGCACCAGTCAGTGAGATCAGCCAAGGGGGGGCCCCGGTCAGCAGCCCCTGGTCAGCAAGATCGGTCGAGGGGGGACTTCCCCCCCAGGTCAGCGAGATCGTCCCCGGCCATCAGTGAGATTGCTGACTGGTCGCTGGGGGTGCACATGCCCCCCTGACTAAGGTGGCACCAGTTCCCCATGAGACCATTTATTCCATTCTGTAACACAGAGGTAAGCAGATGGGCTGAATTATGAGTGCAAGGAGAAAAAATACCACTCAGTGGGTGCATCTACACAAGATGTTTACTGTGTAGTAGACTAATTAGCTCTGCAGTAAATGTTGCGCATCCACATGTGCGCCCCTATTAGGTTGGAGTAAACTAATTAACTCTGCAACAGGAAAGTAATTCTATTTACAAAGCAAAAAACTCAGCAGCACTGCACATGTAGATGCTGCCCCGGTTGGCTGGGGCACAAGGGTGCTTCAGTATGGGGACTGCTGGATGGCTAGCCCTGCACTGAAGCACCCTCATGCCTCAGCCAGCCGGGGCAGCATGTTGAGCCAGACATTGCCGGGAACCACCCTAGGCCGACGGCCAGCCGGGGCAGCATGTTGAGCCAGAGGAGAGCAGCCCTGGGCTGGCAGGCTGACCTTTGGGGCCCCCTGCCAGCCAGGGTTCCTCCAACTTGGCTCAACATGCCACAGTCCCAGGCTCACATTCAAATGGCACGCCTGAGAGCAATAAATTCCAGTGCAATAAGTTCTGGAGTTTATCTCTTTGCATAAATTGCACATGTAGATGTGCCCAATGGCAATCATAGAGGACATTCCAGTTTTCTGCTACTCTGCCCTCTATTGATACGAAACCCGACACCTTTATGTCCTCTATTTTTCTCTTCAAGAGAAAAATAGAGGACATCAAGGCATCCAGTTTCATATCAATAGAGAACAGAGGACAACTGGACTGTCCTCTATGATGGCCACCCTAGCATCATAACAGCGCAGCAGAGTATCCTCTGGTTCTTTCTACAACTATGTGCATTGCCACATGAACAGATAACTCTCTGTGTAGCATGTTTTCCTCAGAAAATGAGGCAATAGGTATGAATCAGAGAGGTGATGTGACCACAAGAACAACAGCAGCACAGTTTCAGGACTGTGCTTACTAGCACTGAAGAAAAACCTGATCTACACTCATATACAGAGGGAGAGACTGCAACTGAGTCAGCCCTGATGCCATCCCTGGGGAAGGCAGAGGTGAGGAAAAGCATAGGGACGTCATCAATATAGACATGTAGTTTGATATCTGACTGGTACCCAGTGGCCTCTTCAGTCCTCTCAGAAAGCTTAAGGTCTATCCATTCCCCATTTCCCATCAATAAGAATGTGTTTTTCTGTGCAGATGACACACTGGAACTACAAGTCATCAAAATTTGTGCATTTTTTTAGGGAATATGCACCGTTTTATTCATTTGTACCAGAAGAGGGTCAATATTATATATAATAGTTCTTGTAACATTTGAAAACTGCCACTGAAATTTAAGTTTGGGTTTTATATTTGATCCAGACAGAGGAATGGATAAATTCAAAATGCCATGCAACAACAACATAATCCAACCAAATTCTGAAAAAAAATATCCTTATCAACAATGAATAAATGAAAAACAAAAGTCCACGTAATACGTACAATACCTTTGTACAAAGGGCTAACTACTCAGAGAGATTTGGGTGGTATGACACCTAATTTTTAGGCACCCAACTCCCAAAGTGGAATACACAACTCCGAGGTAAGGTGCCGTGGTTTTCTATACAGAGCGTGAGAAAAGTTGGGTATCTCAGAATGGGATCCATGACAGCCAGCATGGTAAGTGGGAATTTGCCTAAGTCAGTCAATAGGAAATACTAAAGCATGGGAGGAATTTAATTCCTATCGTTCAGGGGCTTCAGATTGAGAGCAATCTGGAATGAAGGGAGGTGCCAATCTGAGATTGGGATTCTCAGCCTGAAACCCTATTTTAGGTTTATGTGTCTAAGTCATTCCTTTCAGAAACAGAGCACAGGACATTCTTTTTCTTTTAACACACAGGTGGGGGAGAAGGTGATGCCCACTTTAGTCCAATAGTTCACTGGCTAGAGCAGTTGCATGGGATGTGGAAGACTTGGATTTAATATTCTCTTCAGCCTGAGAGGATGTGTGTCACCTCCCAAAATAAAGCCAGAATCATCCCTGTACTGGCAGTTCTGGAGTCAAGGACAACAACCCCTCACTATCCTTCTTGTGGAACCTATGAAAAGAATTCAAGATCCAATGGTCAAGGGCAGACAGACAAAAGGAATATAGCTCTTTAGCCCAGTGGTCAGGGCACTTGCCTGCACAGGGTCCAGCCCTTGCTTCCAGATCTGCTTATACATTTTCTCCCATGTCTGTTTAAGGTAAATTCATAGTCTCACAAAAGAAAAAAAAAGCAGTGCCCCAGCAGGTTCTTGACTGCTTGGATCAGAGATCAGTACACTCACATGGGAGAAGGGAGACCTAGCTGCCAGTTCATGCTCCTACAACTGCTTATTCAATTAGGATTGAAGCATCTAAGTCCTTTTGACAACCTGGGACAAAGTGTTTAGGCAATTCATTTCTGTAATTACAGTCCCGGGGAAAATGCAAATGATAAAATATTGAACAGATAATGACATCACTTGGTTAGCCAGGAACTTGGAGTTTCTAATCTTGCTATGTCATTCCAGGAAGAACTGTCTCTCAGTGGCTGGTAATTCTGTGCCTAGCAGAACACTCACTGTCAATCAGGAGAGAATAAAAAGGGAGGTTGATATGAGCCTGATATAAATGGAGTGGTATTGGGATTCTTCTCAGATCAATCATCTAAACTAATTAAGATGACACACTGATTTTAGTAGCCAAATATAGGATCCTTCCAGGATTCCTTCCCTTAATGTCATTGTCAGTAGAATCCGTGTGACCTCAGTGGGAATTTTTCCTGACTAAGGAATGAGTAAGGAGTGTTGAATGAAACCCACATGCAGGAGACCTAAAATCAAAACTGTCTTAAAAAATGCATTTAAATAAAAAGGACTCAGAACTTGTGCTGATGTATACTATTTTCCCTTTCCATTTATGTAGGGCCTGGTCTGAACCACACATCAGTCCAAGTTTTACAACTGACTGTAATGGGAATAGAATGAGATGTAAGGAACTGATACAGCTAATGGTCTAGATTTGGCTCAGGTTTACATGGAAAAGGGTCAGCAGCCCTGGCAAGTCCACATAGGGGGAGGGTGTGGTAGTAAAAACAAAGCTGCAATTTCTTCTAGATTACGGGTTATTGAGAGCCAATAATGCTTTACAAGCATGTAATTCCTTGAAGGGTGTGTAACCAGTGTTAGTAGGGATATAAATCTGTAATATGAGATCAATTTAGTACCATCCCTCTACCACTTCTAATGGGTATCAAAATAGCATTTTAGGTGACATGCAAAACACTGCAGTAAGCTTGCATCTGACAAGCAGGTCTGACTGGTTCTGCCTCTTTGGATAGCCAAGTTCTTGCTCAGACTTCTCCCTCCACAGATTCTGTTGCTTCCAAAACACTGAAGAATCCAGTCCATCTGGACTGTGCTTTTTTCATTTGTTTACAAAGGCCCCAACCTAAGGTCCAGATCCTCAAGGGGATTTAGATGCCTAACTGCTATGTAAGTGGCAAATTCCCATCGACATGTTATGATTAAATCTGGTTCATTGATAAGAAATGAAGTTAGGTACGTAAATAGCTCTTTTGAGTATGTGAGCAGAAGTGCTACCTGTATAGTGTTGAAGCACTCAATTTGCAGGCTGGGTAGATTTGCACCTTACTGGGTGAGTGTAGTAGTCTACATGTGTGCTTTAATGTGCAGTAGCCTATTTTACTGTGCATTAAATCATCATATAAAAAAGCATGCAATTACACTAATTTGTAATGAATTAAGCTAGTGCACATTAAGCGTCACTTAAAAACATGCACTTGCAGTACTGTACGTTAGGACAGCCTAATAAGCATTTCTTTAGTGCCTCACATTGGCGGCACTAAATTTAATGCACATTAGGAAAAGTGTATTAATGCACATGTAGACACATCCACAGACTATATCAGAGATGCAGTAGTGGCTCACTTCATCAAATGCACTCAGTTTACCAGAGATACTGGGCACCTAGCAAGGTCTCTGCCCTTACATTTCCCTTGTCCATAAGATTAATAATAAGCAGAAATGTTCAGAGAATTATGTTCACATTTTTAAAGAGGTCTGGGCATCTGAGAAATAGGGTTTTCTGTCAAACTCATGTAATTATATAACTGGAGATGCTAAACCAAAATTGTTAAATATTTCCATGAATCTGCCAACTCCAAATATTTCAGCTGCAAATAATTTGTTTCATAGGGACAATTTAATATGTGATTTTAAAAATCAGTGAAAAAATTATAAAACAGCAGGGGAAATACATATGGTGGTGCCAAGATATTTTTAAATCATCTACTGACTTTTTAGGAATATGCAAAGTGACTTTTAAACAACCCCTAAACTTCCTGGTGCCACTTCCTGCTGCCTTCTCTCAGTATTTCCTTCCCTGTTATGTGCAATGATTATTTCAAATTGTCTAGCCACAGGTTTTGGGTTACACACAGTGAATCATGGCTCAAGTTCTATACTTAATTTGCAAACAATGTAGGACATTACAATAACTTTTTGTCATAGAAGCTATCAATTACAGCAATTTACTGATATCATTAAGGACAAATTAAATTTTATTGCCCAATTACTTTGATCTCCTTTATGTTGATCATCAAGAGTTTTTTAATAGCATGCAGGTAGGTATTAATGATGTATAATACAACTAGGCCAACGTTTGTATTGTCAAAAGTAATTGATGGAATTGTCAGTACAAACACCTGTAACTATTATCTAAACAGCTGTGCTGTATCTATAAAAATAAATATTACAAGGCTAACTTTTTGCAATAGAAAACTAATTTGGTTTTGTTACTTAGATAATGCTATTACATTTATACTGATTATTCCTTTAATTTACAAATCAATAAGCATTAAATATTAGATTAACAGTAACATACAAACTTATATTTTAATTAAATTCATCTCATCCTTATTGCCCAGTATTATGTAGATCAGTGAACTCACTCTGTGCTGCTTATAGAGCAATTATTTTTAGTCAGTAAGGTATGGTATACAGTTCAGCTTGTGTGACCTGGAAGAGAATTTCACAACAGAGGCTTAGTTCTACAGCAGCTGAATACGAAGGACTCCCAATAGCTTCAAGAAGAATTTGTTGAATAGAGTGGCCAGTGCTGTTGCAAAATCGGGTCTTATACATATCTAAGTTGGGGAGTCAAATTTGCCCCCAGGTCCCAGCATGAATCTGGACTCCAGGACTCCGCATTGGCCAGATCCAGCCTGGGGCATGGGATGGGAGAAGTGGGACGGCAAGCAACCACCCATGTTCAGGAGCATTCCTGACACTGAGGCCCTTGTTCACCAGGGCCCAGGAGCCCCAAATTTTGTGGTAGGCCCCATCTCCACCTATCCATGCCCCAAAACCCATAGCCTGTCAGGCCAGGTGCCATGGGTGGATCTGGTTTGCAGGCTGGATGTTTGGCACCCCTGATGTAAGTTGTAGCTTTAGGGCCTGATCCCAAAAGCACCCTCTGTGCCTTTCAGTGAGGGTGCCCAGAACTGTACAGAAGGCACTTTGCACCTTGTAGGGATTGACCTTTGGAGGCAGTTGGCCCTTTGGAGGATGCTTGCTAGTGCCAATTTACATCAAGGAATCTCTAATTAAGCCTGCTCTGTGATTTTGTGAATGTCTGGATTTTTGTGGGTTTGCTTATTTGATCCTAAGTTTTGTTTTACCTGTTTAAGCCTTGCTGGAAATTCTAGTAGTCTACAAAAAATCTTTTTCAGCTTCAGCTGATTCACTAGTTTCTCTGGGACTGTTGGTGGGACTAGTAGTCCCAGCATACTTTGACTTTGACTCTGTAACTGATCCACAAATCCTAAGTGAACCAGCTGAAAGTTTTCAGTAAGAATTCATTTGTGTGTGCAGCTATTGATGTGATTTTGTGTAAATCAAAAGGTCCAGGTCTAGTTGACAAATCCTGGTCACTTCTTTACCATCCATAATATGTACCAATAAAGCTATTTGATTGACCAAAACATAGAGCCACATGTGGTGCAATTTTCTCTGCTGGGTCAGGTTTCTTCATACATGAGATTCTGGAAAAGCCAGAAGGAAACTGCTCTCAAGTTTCTCAGCCTAGGACCAAGCAAGAACAAAAGAACTATGAAATGTATTTGGAATTACTGTTCTTTCAAAATATGTGCAAATACATTTAACAATGTGTTCATGCAGAGAAATATTTCTTATCTTTTGCTTTTTGGCTTATTGCCTAAGGAAACATATACCTTTATTAAATACCATTAAAAATACTGGGCCAAATTCAAACTGTTTCAGACCTAAGTTTCAGATTCATGAAGTATCATCTTTGTTGCCAAATATATGTTTGCTCATTTGTCTGTTCAGATATTGGGTGACTAGAGGAAAGGTTAAGAATAAACTCGTATCTAGCAGAGAACAAATAAGGCATTAAAGAAAATGTGCTGGAAAACTTATTAGTATATTATGTTTACCAAAAAGTTTGTCAAAGTAAGTCAGAAAGCAATGTTTATAAATTGCTGTACTGCAAAGGGAAGATCATTTCAAAAGCCCTCTATTATTTTCAGAAATAGGAAACGGCTATTTTAAAATCACAATTCATTTTTATTTTTTCGATATCTACAGAGTTGCCACTCCATTTGGTGGTTTTGAGAGAGCCTCGAAGCTGGTTAAATTCAAGGTACCAGATTTTAATCTATTGCTGCTAAATGATCCCAGGTTCATGGTCCTTGCAAGCCCTTTGTCCAGCAGGAGGTCCTTCAATAGGACTCCTAAGGGATGGGTGTCTGAGAATATTCCTGTAGTGTTCATCCAGCATTCTGATTCCAACGCTGTTCCAGAAACGGATGACCTGTGAATGAGAAGCTATATATTGTGATGAAAGACGAACGTAAGAATCAGTGTGATATTGTTCTCACTTCTAATAGAAGCTACTTGCAACATCTTTTCTTAGTAGCTGGAGTCTAACTAGTAACTTCTGATCCAGCAGCTCTTTTCTGGAATTAAATGTCATCTACAGACTAATACAAATAAAATAATTTTGCAACTATTCATTGAATCATTTTTTTTGACTATTGTGTGTCTATACATTTTATAGATTCATAGATGCTAGGGTCAGAAGGGACCTCAACAGATCATTTTATGTTTTTGTTTAATTGAAAACTACTTTGTTTCTAAGTCTAAGCAAGTTAGTTTAGTTTTCATGGTCACTGCAGATTACAAACTACATTTTAATAAAAGGACAAAACAGCAGGTTGATAACTGATTGTTTATCATTTTTTCTGTATTTGGAAAGGCTACAGCATTTGCATGTTATATTCTCTAATATACAGTTTGGTAAGATTGGATTTTTAAATAGGAAACAACTTTATTACATGGGCTGTGAACTCTGGCTGTAAAAGCTCTATTCTTATGTATACTGAATTCTCTAAGGGACTAGTCTTTCCTCAGTGTGTACACAACGCCCATTTGCTTTCTAATCTCAAATATGCAGTTTCATATCTCTTGTTTTTCTTGTAAAATCAGCTTACACATACCGGTCCACAGCTACATGATCAGACTTAAGCTTCATATGCTATGGCAAAAGTTAGGCCAATGAAATGCAGCAAACCACAATACTGTCAATGACATTTTGGCAATTACTTATGTCAATCCATAAAGGGTTTAGCTACAAGACAGTGCAAATAAGCAAAAATCAGATGTGTCTGAGGTAGTCATAAAATAATCGCAAAACAGGGAGAAAAGAAAGCTTATGGGGAAGTGTTAAGTGAATACTTTTAAAACTGCACTGAGGTCATGAAAGTACATCCTCAAAAGACTCAATGCTCAGGCTTTACTTCTGGGGCAGCAATTTGCAGCTGCAAAAATTGCACTCATATTTCAATTGTATGTTCAAGTCAAGTAGTTAGGGACTCACACTTGCAGATTTGTTGACTGCAAATTTTACAGATTGTAACTGCACCTTCCTACCCTACAGTCAATTTTAAGTTTTTTGTTGTGCAGAACTTACACTCATGATATGGACAATAATACTGAATATGAGTACCCCAAGTGTATAAATGCTACTAAGATTAAAGTAGAGTATATGAAGAGACACAATATAGAGAGACTTTATATAGTATAAAGATAGAGTATATGAGGAGAGACAATATTCAGATTCAGAGGGCTCTGGTTTGCTAAGTGATCAGGTTAGCAGATGACAACCACAGTCTGATGCAAAAAAGAAGTAGCCTGTTGATGTGAATCAAGTCTCAAGAATACATATGGAGTAAAACAAAACATATAGTGCCTTGATCAAAAACGGATTTGGAGATTAGTACTGAAAATCACTGAAATTAATTCAATGTACAACTGATTGTTAGCTCTAGGGGAAAAGCAGGACTCCCTCTCCTCCGCTTCCTCCCCTCCCAGAAGTCATCTTGTGCTAAGCCCCACAGTGCAAAAGGAGCCACTTGTTTGACTGTGCAGAGTCCCAGTGGAGCAGACAAAATTTATACTAGTATACAGATCTACACAGAAAGAATCCTTTATAGACTTGGGGATTTGGAGACTTTCCATTGACTTCAACAGACTTTGGTCTGTGCGCCCTGTGTACTGTGGGTCACCACAGGAAGGATATATTATGTTTGCATATGTAATGAAGGGCAATGGTGAAGAGTCTTAGTGGGTGAATGAACAAACAATTTTACTATTTTAAATGGGGGGGAGGGGTACTTACAGTGGTTCACCTGGATCCACTGTAACTACTTTGTCTGTCCACTCTTGTCCTGTAGGAAATGCACATTAAGCGGAGCCAGTTTATCCCTGAATGAAGCTAGGTTTATAGGTTCACTTTCTGTGGGACAGGAGAAGACAGACAAAACAAATACCACAGATCAGGTGACACATGTTCACAAGTGGTAAATTCCCCTTACCTCTTCTAAGAACATTAAAATTGTTTGGCCATGCTTTCATTTGTGCAAGGCTAAGGATTTGAGTTTATTCTTGATGACAAAGGTAAGGCCTTGAGGTGACAGTAAATGGTTCCAGATTTGTAGGATTGGAGAAGTCAAAAAGGAAAGACTTTTTTTGTACTTTGGTGTTCCTGAGACTAAGGAACATAATAGGAAACTTAGTTTAAATAGGGAACTGAGGGAAATAAGCATAGGGAATGATTTACTAGCAGAATAATTTACTGAAGCAGTTTAAATGAGATCATACATTTGTTACTTTTTCCTAGTAACAAACACATATTTGTTACTAGGAAAAAGTGAAAGGGATAATGAAAAGGCAGGAAAGGGTTAGAGGTAAAAATACATTTCAGAAAGTAAGTTATATTGGTCTAGGAAGCTGTTTTTGGTTCCCGAAATGTTCTTGGCTCAGGTCTCATTGACATTAAGGCCCCTTTCTCTGACAGAGCTCTGTGAAAGGGTCTTAAAAGTGCATGTAAACCTTTCTGATGCCAAACGGATGTAAATGAGAAATCAGAACCTGTTTTCCAAGTTAAGCCAAATATTTTGGGTGATATTCTTCCTATTAGAATGTGTAAAATCAAATGAGAGGGTGGAGTACTTCTATGAAAAATGCCATAGAGGAAAGTTCTCCAAGAATAATGCAATTTACACCTATTTATACAGGAGAAATACTATGAAACATTAGGGCTCAATGTCTCTATAAAGCTGAGGATAACAAGTATCAGCTGTAACTATGATCTTTGAAGTAGGGGGTTCATATTTCAATGCTGTGGACTTAGGCTAAGTACAGACATTACCCTTTTTCTGGTTTCGGTGGTCAGAAACCTGTCTATACCCAAAACAAAACAGAAATTCAGGGCACAATTTCAAAATTGCAGATTCTGGTCTAAGATAGGACTGGATCCATGTATTATTAGACTTACTTGAGCTAGGTTGGACTGGTGCATCAAATGTCAGTGCCAGATCCGACCGCAAATCAAGGTAAGTCGTTTTCTCCTGGTATCCCAGTTGCCTGTGACCCCTGTGAGTGCCCCCCATCCCCCTGAGGGGCCATAGCTTGGCTTGTGAGCTGTTGGGGGAGGTGGTGCCAGTGGCACACCCTGCATTCCCAGCCAAGTCTGTGGGACTCAGAGGGTCCCTACTGTGACCCCAAGCCCTGGGACCCCACGCTGCAGTGGCTCTGAGAAGGGCTCAGAAGATTCCTCAAACCACCAGTGCCACGTTCCATGCTGCTGGGTGGCCTCCAGTCCATGGGGAGGGAGGACAGCCATGGCCCTGCAGCTGCAGAACCTGGTGGAGGGCAACTCTAGTGCTGAGATATAGTGGGGAGGAAAGGGCAATGGGTCCCTGTGCTGGGCTGAGGTGGCAGTGGCCCCTCCCTTGCCCCAGTTCCTGCACTAGAATTGTGCCCCACCAAGCACTGCAGCTATGTGGGAATGACTGCCCCCCTCCCATCACTAGGTGGGGGGTGATTTCAGTGCGGGAACAGGGGCCACAGCCCGGGGACCTAGGCAAGCCCCCACCTAGCCCTACCAGCTGCTTGAGCAGCGACTGCTGCCAGCTGGGCTGGCTCAGCTCAGGCAGGGGAAGGGGGGCTGCTAGCTCAACCTGGCACAGGAACCCACTGCCCCCTGCCAGGCGCCGCAGCCATGGGGGCATGGCTGCCCCCCTCCCCATGGACCAGAGCACTGCAGCTGCATGGAAAGGGTCACAGGATGGAGCGGGGTGGAGGGGATCCTCTGAGCCCTTCCCGGATCTGCTGCAGCACAGGGTCCTGGGCAGGACAGGGCAGGGATACTCTGTGCCCCACTGACCTGCCCAGGACCACAGGGTACACCACTGGCACCACCTCCCCATCAGCAGCTCACAAGCCCTGCACTCCTCTGCCTCTGTCCTGCATGGGGTGCACCCCCACACCCCACCCTGGGCCCTGCTGCCTGACAGATGATAGGGCAGTGGGGGGAGGCATGTGTCTAACAGCCAATGAGGGATGGCACAGCCACTCAGCTGTGCTCAGGTGTCCTCGGTAATGTCCCTCATGCTGGGAGGCATATGAAAGCACCTCCCACCTAGTGGCCTTGGCCTGTGTAGGCATCTGTCTGCTTCTCCAGCTGAAGAACAAATATAAGTCACAGTTGCTGATGGTCCAATCTATGCAGCTTAGACAAAGCTGCATAGATTGAATCGATTCTGCCTTAGGCTTTTTGACTATCTGTACTTAGCCTTAGGGTCTGGTACAATGCCCATGAAGCCATTCAAGAGGCTCTCTTTGACTTTAATGCATTTTGATTCCAGTCCAAAACCTTAAAGCTATGCGTAAGGATGACCATAAAAATTTGTGGGAAATCCAGGACAAGGTAAGGAAATCTGTGACAAGGGGGCGATGCAGGGGTGTTCATGCACATGTACATGTACACACACACACACACACACACACACACACACACACAGAGAACCTCATGGGTCCCAGGAGCAGGACTGCATGGGACAGCATAGTGTGTGTACATGCATACACACATACACAGTCCTGACCCTCCACACATGCATGCACAGACACATGCACACACAACCCCAACTCCCGTGGCTCCCCACATGCACCCTTCCCCTGACCCCAACTCTACTGTGCAAGCAACTCCGTGTGCAGCCCAGCAGGGTCTGGACCAGGGAGTAATGCACTGGCTGGGCTTCCTGGAGAAAACTGAAGCAAAAAGTCCCAGATTGGCACAAACCCATCTGTACGGGCCCAATTCCTGACTCAGGAGTCACATGTGCAGATGGGTTCCTGCCAATCAGGGACTTTTGCTTCAATTTTCTCTAATGGTTGGGATGCTGAGACAGCCTCTGAAATCCAGAATTGTCCCAGCCAATCCTGGACATCTGGTCATCCTAGTTACACAGCATCTACAGTACTCAGTACAGGACAGAGAGGTAGAGCAAGCTAAGTATTCATGGCTCTTACTGGTGCCATTAATGTTGTTTTAGCAAATGGATACACCACAGTTGGAGTTTGATCCCTGGTCCCCACTTCCATCATATAGGCCACATTTATTTTAATGTGAAACCAAGCTAATACACTATTTATAGAGATGCAGAGAGGAGTCAGTAGCAACAAGACATGAATCCTAGTTTTGTATTCTCAACAAGATTGATAGTCATTTTTTTCTTCATGCTGCTGCATAACAGAGGATATTTGTTGGTTGGTTCCAAGAAATAAAAATGTGATCCTCATATTATGCTGATTGGCTATTACATTTTAGCAACGAAGAAGTGTTAGAATGAAGATCTAATGTTTATATGTGCTCCTGTACTTCGATGTAAACTTTCCTCAGATGTCCTAATTGTGTCAACATGCCTGACTACACTTCTTTTTTGTTATACACATACCTGTTTTTGTGGAAATAAATGCATATTATATTGGCTCCAAATATGTGCATATTTTGTTCACTTTATAGGCTCTTACTTAAAGCAAAATCCTTAGTTATGATAATTGAAAACTAGACCAAGCTGTTATGGATGAAATCCTATCCTCAGTGACATCAAATTGAGTTTTATCTTGACTGCATTGTGGCCAGGGTTTCAATGGACATCCTATTTATTTGTATCTTATCACCATTTATGATAAAATGTATTTCTAACTGTACATAATACCACTATTTAATCCAATCTGTGTTCAAGTCCAGAGCACATGATGGAATAAAGGAATCAACCATATATGTGGTTGGATTGGGCTCTTAAAGAGTGGCTAGGGACAGAAATTATACATAAACCAGTTTAAGTTATCAGAATAGGTTTATTGGTTTAAACCTATAATAGAACAGAAGTTCAGTGCACAAAATCCAGTTTCAAAATGGCTGAAATTAGTTTAAGATAAACCTGGCTGAATGTAATATTAGACTTAACTGATTTGGGTCAAACTGGTTTATGAAACGTCTGTCCCAGATCCCTTCCCAGTTCAAGTTAAATCACAGTCCCCCAGCATCCCAGCATGCTTTCCTGCCCTAAGCTGGGCTGTGCTGTCTGCTCTAGCAGGGAAGGGTTGCGGGGGGGGGGGGAGCGAGGGGGGGACAGGGACAGGGACTGCCCTCCTTCCCTCCAAGGCAAACCCTGGATGGGATCTGGGGCCAAGGAGGGGGTTAAACTTCCCTTCCCTGAGTACAGAGCTGCCCTGCCCTGATAAAAGGATACTGTTGGCTGCAACTGTGGACTACAAATCCCAGAGGTACCTGGAAGCAGGAAAGGAAGTGATGAGCAACCCTGCAGAGTCCTGCTGCTGTGATTGTGCATGGCAAATCTCAGAGACCTTAGAGGCAGCAGGAAGAGGAAGCGAACATACAGCCCATACTGGCTATGTGCCAGAGAGGTGTGCATTAGTGTCCCCCAGTTTCTGGCCTGAGCCATTGCAGGCATATGGCTGCATTTCCTGAATCAAAAGTGAATGCCTGTTCAGTTTATTTCTCAGTTTATTCTCTGCAGTTTAGACTAACCTGTAAAGACTGAACTGATTCAGCCTCAGGCTTTTTTACTGTCTGTACTTAGCCAGAGTGTATATTGGCTGAAACTTTAAGAAAATACACAGTTATGCAACACAAAGAGGAAAACATAGATTCATAGATGTTTAGGTCGGAAGGGACCTTAGCAGATCATCGAGTCCGACCCCCTGCCCTGGGCAGCAAAGAGGGCTGGGTTCAAATGACTCCAGCCAGGTGCATGTCTAGCCTCCTCTTAAAGACCCCCAAGGTAGGGGAGAGCACTACCTCCCTTGGAAGACCATTCCAGATTTTGGCAACCCTTACCATAAAGAAGTTCTTCCTGATGTCTAACCTAAATCTGTTCTCCATCAGTTTGTGGCCATTATTCCTAATTACTCCAAGGGGTGCCCTGGCAAATAGGATGGAATGAATAGTAAAGAGACCAGGGGCATGCAAGAAAGCCAGTCAATGAAGATGTAAATTGAGGAGTCAGTGGGTGAGAGACAGGCTGGGCGGGCGGGGGCAATGTCTCTATTTAGCCCATGATTTTTCATATCCAGGAGGTTGATGAAGTGAAGTTTATAGTCTCATCTGTGAAAAGTGTTTTGTAAAAGTGAAATTGTTATATGTAAGGATGAAGTGTATAAGGTCAGTAATATCTTTGGGTCTGTACTCTGAGTTTTAATCTTGCTCTTGTAGGTATGTAAGGCAGGCTTGGATGCCATCCTAGTGTGGGATGTTGGTATATAAGCTGGTAACAACCATGGTGGCTAGGAGGGTGTTACTTGGAAGGTGGTGTATGTTTTTAAGTTTTTGTAGGAAGTCTGTAGTGTTTTGGACAAAACTCGCTCTTTGGGTGACAAGTGGTTTTAGGATTGATTCGAAGAAACCTAATATTTCCTCAGTTAGGGTTCCATGGTTGGATATGTTAGGTCTGCAAGGGTTCCCTTGTTTGTGGATTTTAGGGAGCATGTAAAAGGTCCCTGGGTTACGTAGTGGGGGGGATCAAGGTCTGTAGTTTTTCTTGTAGTTCTGATGGAAATGATTTGATGGTAGTTTTCAGTTTCAAGGTGAAAAGGGGAGTAGGATCTTCCTGTAATTCTTTGTAGTAGGTGGTGTCAGAGAGCTGTCTGTTGGCTTCTTTTATGTAGTCTTTACTGTTAAGGATGACTATGGCTCCTCCTTTATCTGCTGGTTTTATTACTATTTGGTGGTTGGATCTTAGAGATTCCATGGCCTTTCTCTCTGATAGGGAGAGGTTGTTATGTTGGTTATTTCACTGTTCATTCTTTCTCCAAAGCAGTTAATACAGAGGTCAAGGTTAGAGTTTCATCTGCTGTGTCCAATCTGATTTTTGGGGGGGAGTTTTGGGATTGATTTTTTCCTCGATGTTGTCAGAGGATGAGTTGTTGTCAGAAGTGGATTCATTTGGTTGTGGAAATACTGAGGCGAATGCATTGGAAGAATTCTTCTACTTCTCCACATGGAAGTATTTTATTAGGGTATTTTTCTGGACAGAAATTTAGGTCTTTAGAAAGGACAGATTTTTTAGTTTTGCTAAGTGTGTGCATGGAGAAATTAATATTTGAGGGTTGGTTGCTGCTTTCCATTTCATCAAGTCTGAGGTTGGAATGTTATATGGTGTTGGTGGTGTTTCTCTGATGGTTGTTTTGTGGCTGGTAAATTTGTTCCTGGAGTAATTTGTTCCATTTCTTCCACTTATGACACACTATAACCCGCCTGACATCTGAGGTACCTCTTCACTATTTACCTGCTACATTCATCCCCCTTCCCCTCCCCACCTCACCCACTGACTCCTCAATTTACATCTTCACTGACTGCCTATCTTGTGCAGACCAGCCCAGCCTCTGGCTTCTTTACTATTCATTCCATCCAGGAAGAGCACACACCAACTGCAGATGTGTCCTCAGCCTGATGAAGGGTTTTTGAACCCGAAAGCTTGCACAGAAATTTTTTTTCAACTATTTAGTTGGTCTAATAAAAGATATCAGATTTACCCAAAGAACTGTGTCTGCATAATTAAAGTTCTGCATACAATTGGCTTTTCAGATTTGGGGACAAACTGGGAAAAACAAAAGAAAACAAAAGGCCTTTTTCAGTACACACACACACACAGAAAAGAAAATATCTTAGATCTCTTGGCAAAATAAAAAGATACTAAACTAAACAAAAAATGTCTCCAAAACAAAATATTTCTTTTTTTGGAGAGGGAAGGAGGCAAATTTAGACTCCAAATCTTGTTTTGTGGGGGAAAAAAATCATTTTGAAGATGTTAAAATATTTTGATATTTTCAAAACATTTTTATTTCTTTTCAATGGAAAATAGTCACTAAATTTAGCATAAATACACAAGCAGTTTTGGTCAACCTGAGTTTTCTGCTGACAAACTATTCACCTGCAAAAAAATTGCCCCGCTCTTAAAATATTACTTCTCCACTTCACAGAGATAGTGGGAGATTAAATTCAATAATGGGGACAAAATACAAACTCCATAAATCATTGTAAGTGAGAAGCTCTAACTGTTGTGAGCCAACTTTTTGTTTCAAAAACAAATGGTGATCAAAACACTGAATGGCATTTGTACTAAGAACATTTTGAACTCTGCCAAGTAGAGAGGTGACTGTGCCAGCAAAATTAGTAATGCAGGAATTCCTTCACACTCAGAGATGGAATTTCGTACATTTTCTAAAATATATCTGCTTTTTATTTGCGCTTCCAATTTTTTAACATTCTTTTGTTATAAAAATAGCCACACATCTTTCTCTTGTTCCTGGGAATACAAAGGCCCTTTTGCCACAGAATTAGTCTAGTCCAACAAAGCTGAGATGGAGAAATGGAGAGTATAGGATTTCAGGAAGCTATGCAAGAAATAAGCAAACCCAGCATAGTGCAGAGTCCAGCTTTCCAGGATCTCCCTTTAGTGCTGTTTTCCTACATCTGTTGATACGGGGCATTTTAAATCCTCTTGAGCACATTCTCATTGCTGCAACATAGCTTGAAGAAAAAAAAAATCTTTGTTTCCTACAGCAGAGTTCCCCAGGACCCAGCTAAATTACTCAGGCCTGGCATAGCATTGACTGTTAGATGTAGATAATGTACTGAAGATGTTGGAAAACCACTGTGTGAAAGATAGCTTCAAATGAACACAAACAAGCAAGGTTTGAGGTATGTCAGGCTGTTGTACACTAAGCCACTGTATGTCAGGAAGGATCCCAGTATGTCTAATAAAAGGAGTTCAAACTAAATTAAAGTATTTCCTACCCCTTCCCCACTCTTCTACATTCAGAGACTTAAATTCTTGGTACAGAGGCATTCCTTGGGTTCTTAAGCTAAGCACTTTAGATACTTGCAGGGAGAGATTAAAACAAGAACATTTTGTTCAGACAGACAGCAAGCTGGACGTCTAACAGCAGCAGGTACTGATTGCTGAACCAAACTGGAATACAGTACGTTTTCTGTTGGGGCTGTGCAGTGACTAAAGTCGATTTCTTTGGTTGAAGGATTGTGTGGGAGGGAAAAGGGACATGATAAACTGGGATAAAAGGGACAACAAAAATAGTGAGAGAGGAAAAAAATCAACATAACTTATTTCATAATGATACTTCAGTTTATCCTTCAGTCAGGTAGATTTTTTTGTCAGCTGTAACAATGGCGAGAGCAGAAATAACAGCAATGAGAAGGGTTGAAACTTGGTGGACAGGGGTGCTGTTTCATAGAGAATAAAAAACAAGAGCAGGTAGAAACTGGCCAAATCCTAATTTGTTGCTCTGGTAGCAGGGAACACAAGTTATCAGAGGTCTGTTGGACTGTCTGAGGGTAAGTATGGTACCCTCTATGTTTTACCAGACATCAGTGCTCAGATGCAGTGCTCACAGCATAACATAGTAGTATATTCCTTCTGAGAGCTTATTACCTCTTAGGCTTGCTTCCATGAATTTACATATGGTATTTTGGGATGTGTTGGTTTTTACTACAAGTTACCAACCCAGATACATACACACTGGGCCATCAAGTCTATTCCCCTGCTATTGTAGATTATCACAACATATACATTTATGAATGAAAGAGATGCATGGAGCCTCATTTTCATACTGGTTGGGTTTCTTGCCTCATTATTCCTGTTGAGTGGCTGTTCCATATTCTCACTTTTTGTGTGGTTACAAATATTTTTCTTCAATTTTCAGCTTATATTTATTCATGATAATTTTATATCTGGCATCCTTAATTCGTTTTCCCCTCTCTTTGGTGTTCACCATCCTGAATACAAGCCTTGGTCTGGCTATGCTAAACAACCAAAACTCTTTTAGTCTCTTTTCGGAAGCTAGGTTTTCCTTTCCTTTGCTCCTCCTAAAAGCCCTTGTTTACTAAATTGAATGAATTTTTTTGAAAAAACAGGGGACCAGAATTGTACATAGTATGCCAGATGAGGTCTTACAAGTGCCTTGTACAATGATATTCATATTTCCTTATTTCTACTGGAAATACTTCATTTTGTATATCTTAAGACTCAATTTACTTTCTTCATGGTCACATCACAGTGGTGGCTCATAGCTGTCTGTTGATTAACTAATACACTCAGGTCTTTCTCCCTCTATGTTTTTTTCCAACTAATGATCTCTCAGCTTATTACAGTAATTCTTGTTCTTAGTCCCTAAATACCCAACCTTGCACTTTGTACTATTACATTTCATTCCATTAGATTATTCTAGTTCCCAAGGTCAACCAATTATTTCTGTAGGACATCCTGTTCCTTCTCTGTATAGATGATATTTCCCAACATTTTGTCATCAGTAAATTTTATTAACACACACTTACTTTTCGTGCCAATGTTACTAATGAAAATATTAAATAAGACCAGCCCCAGAACAATTCTGACACTTCCCAGTTCAGACTGACCCACTATTGTCTCTCCTTTATTTACTTTTCTATCCATCCTATAATTATTATACTAATCCCTATCTTTTCCAATTTAAGAAATAAATTCCCACATGGCATCACATCAGCAAAGTTCAGCTAAATTAGATCTCCCTAATTTCCTTTGTCTAAAAAATCAATGATCAAAGAAAGACACCTCATTAGGCAGGCATGACGAAGCTTTGCAAAATACATGTTGTGTTTTACCCCATTTACCGTTTATGTCTGTGTCTATAAATGTACATCAAATTTTCCTAACATCTTTATACTACTGAGGTCAGACACTCATTCTTATCGGACATCTTGCCTTTGACTTGTCTATCTACATCACGATCCTTATTGAAAACTAAGGCAGAGTGTTAAGTCAGTTTTTAATACATACTTAAAATGTACTGACCTTTGACTCCATTCTTACTACGTAATGGCTCTACTGTCTCTTTTCCTTTTCTGGAAAAAAAAAATTCCCCACAAAATATCTCTGACCAATAATTTAAAAATGAATTCCTGACATTTTCATTGGAGTGGACTGTGCCTAAGAGCCAAAATCCCTTTTCAACAAGGGACTGAGGCCTAGTTTTTCCTGTAGATAGACTGATTAAAATGAAATTTCTCATATTTTTTTAATTGATGTAACCAAGTGATGGGAGCCCAAGAAGGGTGGCTGTGCCTTAAGGAAATGATCCTTTGGGCACAAAGCAAGATGATCCCCGAGTGAGGCAAAAGGGGGAAAGGGGCCAGGAGGCTTCCCTGGCTGATCAGAGAAATCCAGGGCAGCCTAAGGGACAAAAGGGGAGCACATAAAAAGTGGAAACAGGGAGAGATCACCAAAGATGAATATACCTCCTCTGCTCGTGCTTGTAGGGAGGCAGTTAGACGGGCCAAAGCTGCCATGGAGCTGAGGATGGCAACCCAAGTAAAAGACAACAAGAAATTGTTTTTTAGATATATTGGGAGTAAAAGGAAGGCCCAGGGAGGAATAGGATCCCTGCTAAGTGGGCAGAAACAATTGGTGACAGACAGAGGGGACAAGGCTGAACTCCTCAACGAGTTCTTTGCCTCAGTGTTCCTAAGTGAGGGGCACGACAAGTCTCTCACTGGGGTTGTAGAGAGGCAGCAGCAGGACGCCAGACTACCATGCGTAGATCCTGAGATGGTGCAGAGTCACTTGGAAGAACTGGATGCCTTTAAGTCGGCAGGCCCGGATGAGCTCCATCCGAGGGTGCTGAAGGCACTGGCCAACATCACTGCAGAGCCACTGGCGGGAATATTTGAA